TGAAAACTTACTGTAGTAGTGATGACATTTATATACCTGGTTGTGATCGAGTTGAAAGTTACTTGTTTCGCAAGGAAGCTCACTAATATTGCCAAGATCATCATAAAAGTTGAGACTCTCCAGTTGAGGGATTTCAAGATTTGGTTGTGTAGTTGCATTAGCATGTTGCGGAGGAGGCTTGTATGACTCGTTCTCATTGTTTACGAAAGACTGCATTCCAGACGAGAAGTGGCTAGGTCCTGGTTGATTAGGACTTATACTTCCATAGCTGCTCAGTCCTGGTTGATTAGGACTTAAACTCCCATAGCTGCTCGGTCCTGATTGATTAGTACTTGACCTTCCATAGCTGTTCGGTCCTGTCTGATTAGGAGTTACACTTCCATAGCTGCTTGGTTGATTAGGAGTTACACTTCCATAGCTGCTCAGTCCTGGTTGATTAGGACTTAAACTTCCATAGCTGCTCATGAGTCCTGGTTGATTAGGAGTCAAACTCCCATAACTGCTTGGTCCTGATTGATTAGGAGTTAAACTTCCATAGCTATTCATGAGTCCTGGTTGGGTAGGAGTTAAACTTCCATAGCTGCTCGGTCCTGCTTGACTAGGAGTCAAACTTCCGTAGCTGTTCATGAGTCCTGGTTGATTATGAGTTAAACTTCCATAGCTGTTTGGTTCTGATTGATTAGGAGTTAAACTTCCATAGCTCACGAGTCCTGGTTGAGTAGGAGTTGAACTTCCATAGCTGCTCGGTCCTGGTTGAGTAGGAGCATAGCTGCTCGGTCCTGGTTGAGTAGGAGCATAGTTGTTGTGTCCTGGTTGATGAAGACCATAGCTGCTTAGTCTTGGTTGATTAGGAGTTAAGTTTTCATAGCTACTCATCATGTTGTTGTTGAAACTAGTACCCTTGGTTGCAGCCGGTTCATGTTGTCCAACCCCAAGAACTTGAGATGTTTGGCCGATTTTGTTCGCCATCACAGGTGGTTCAAAAAAGCTTCTTCTTCCTTCATTTTGAGATGGTTGGTTTGAGACGTTGAGGTTGCTTTTGTTGGGGAGATTCAAGTTTGATCCAACACGGTTCCGCTCATAGATGGACGACCGGTTCATGTAGTTGTATGGGATCGTCTGGTTGAAGCGGACAGAGTCACGTGTGTTGGACAAGAGTCTAGACTGTCCAAGACCGTGTCCGGGTTTGGAATAGAATGATTTATTGGTAAGACTTGTGTCGAACCAAGTAGAAGAAGGTGTGTAATAGTTGTAGTATGGCTCCGTGATGTGAGCATACGAAAAATTCGAGTCTATTCCTCTACCGGTGAACACGCTTGAAGTGATCAAGGCTTGTTCTGCGACTTTCTTCAAGAATATCCGAAATTTCTGCATAACATAGCAAACGAGAGTGTGAGTCAATTAAAAAGTAGAATTATTCATGGCTATGGTTTCTATAGGTTTAAACAGG